TTGAACAAGGGGGGGGGGGGGTTGATTTTCTAAAGGCAAATAGGCTGTTCCTTTTTCAAAGTCGTTTTCCCTTAGCTTAGTGCATGACGTAAGCTGTACTAACATCATCCAACCATGTGCAAGCAAAAATACAATTTTTCTTGTTTTCCTTAAAAGAGAACTATGGGGTAAGTGTTTTTCCCCATAGTTCTCCTAAGGGTTACGGGAGGACATATACTAGCGTCCTCCCGTGACCCAAAGCTCAGTATATCGCAAGCTACAGCTCACGGTATACTGGGACCGCCGCAGCCGGGACGGATCCCGACATTATTGTCGAGATCCACCCAGCTGTGTGAGTGACAGCTGGCTCTGTCTATCTAATGGGAGAGCCAGTTGTACCCGCCCCGTCCGTTCCTCCAGTCAGCGCTGGAGGATCGGACCGGGGAGGGGGAATCCCTGTGGGGAGTGGTGACTGATATTTACGGCTCTCTGCAGGGAGATGATCGAGAAGTGAGCGAGCAACATAGTTCTCCTTTAAACATGATTAGGTATTCTTTGCAAATTTAAATATTACCACATTCACTAAGCTAAGGGAAAATTATGTTGCAAAGTGAGCAGCCTACTTGTCTTTTGTAAATTTACCTATGACAAAAAGTGCATAAAAAAGAAACTTCATGGAAGGACCATCAGTTATTACTTTAATAAAAGTTGCATATTTAAAATAAATTAAACCATTTTTGAAATCATATTATTATAAATTTGTATGAGATTTTAGCAATTGGGATTACATCTACTTCAAGATGCCTAGCTCAAGGGATTATTATAAAAAATGAAAAAAAATAATGGTAATGATAAAGTAATGGTAATAGTTATAATCCTCCTGAATAGAAACAATGTCCTGTTTTATAGATTTTGCATACACATATATCACTGGTTTATCTAGCTTTGGATATTTGTGTTAATACGTCCCATCTAATGTTCATTATGTTTTTGTTTCTTAGGTCTGTGACTCTGACACTGTGCTTGATCCAGCATCATCTGTGGAGATGGTGAAGGTTTTGGAGGAAGATATAATGGTTGGAGGTGTTGGAGGAGATGTACAGGTAAACAACTTTTACATCACAGAAGTTGATTATGGTATAGCTACAAATTATATCCAGCTGCTGGTAAAGTGAACATGTATTTTGCTTTTTAATGCAAAAGTCTCTGGCTTCTTTAAAGTGAACTCCCAGTCCAGTCTTAGTTTTCAAATAGGGAAGCATTAGAACCCCTATCAGGTTTTTATTGTTATGTGGGATGCTAATAGAGAGATCTCCCCTCTTTTACTGTCCCAGTAATAATGGTTTTACCAGATGGGAAATGAGGGAAAATCTCCAACAGTAATGCCAACAGAGACAAAAAAGTTGTCCCTGTTGAAGATTTTCTTCTATTTCACTCTCGCTGCTAAAGTATAAAACACTGCCAACAAAACCCATGCATCCTTAGGGTATAATATTAATAAAACATCTGCTGTTTTTGTTTATTTAAACATGTTCAGAAACTCACATTTTACAATCACATTGGAGAAACGTCCCGTTACTTTCTGTTCTTAGTGGAAATGAGGGAGAAAAACTCCCCAATAGGAACACAGATTGCCATAAAAACTGACAGACACCCATCTCCTGCTTTACCCCAAAAGAAATAAAAAGTTTTGCCTGGAGCTGTCTTTTATCGTTGTTAAAAATTAGGGGTAGATGTCACATCAAGGGCATACAAACTCATCATCAGTGACACATAATTTGCAATGGTTAATCCAATACAATTTTGTAATGCACAATAGCCCTGCTGAAGTTGCTCTTGTCAAACAAGATGCCCCAAACAGATCCCTAGAGAGAAAATCCAACAAGCAAAAAGACGAACAAAGAGCGCCAAACCAAAATGAGCCCAAGTAGGAGTTGATGGTTCATTAGATGATTGAATACAACAGTCAATGCGTTTTGGGGATATAAACAATCGCCTTTCATCGGGGCTACAACAAATCAAATAAAAATGATTAATGCTATGTGATCTCTTTAGAATTGAAGTAAGTCAAATAATTCCAATACTTGTCTGGTTTCAAAAACAGTATTCTAAATGTCTAGAATTGAGACACTATATTAAATATTTGGTGTCTGGTAATTAAGTAATTGTACAAAAAGAAAGCATCAGTAACATAATTCATAGGAGAACTATGAGGTGAGTGAAAATCACTCATCCTCATAGTTCGAGCCGACGTGTGACAATTAAACTGTCACACTTCGGCTCAATAGATCGGGAAGTGATCGAACACATACCGTCGCTCGCTCACTTCTCGATCATCTCCCTGCAGAGAGCCGTGACTATAAGTCACGGCTCCCTGCAGGGATTCCCGCCTCCCTGCTCCGATCCTCCAGCGCTGACTGGAGAAACGGACGGGGGAGGGGGCGGGTACAGCTGGATCTGACTCTAGATAGGCAGAGCCAGTTGTCACTCACGCAACTGGATGGATCTCGACAGTAATGTCGGGATCCGTAACGGCTGCGGCGGTCTCAGTATACCGCCAGCAGTAGCTCGCGATATACTGAGCTTTGGGTCACGGGAGGATGCTAGTATAAGTCCTCCCATGACCCTTAAGAGAACTATGGGGAAAAAGCACTTACCCCAAAGTTTTCTTTTAAGTTTGTTAAAACAAATTAAGACAAAAATCAATTTTGTGAAATAATAACATATAGCATACATTCAGTGCGACAGATATTTATTTATATCAAGACTAAAAATCATGAAAACATCCCTAGGCTGTTGGCTGTTTCTTCCATCATATGATGAATGAATAAATCTTTCTCTGAGTAATTTTGGTCTGGCACTCTTTATAGATCAAAAGCATGGTAGACGAGGACAAATGCAAAAACCAACAAACCACTTTAAAACATAAGTTACTTTGCCATTGTTTACCTTAGCACAGGGAAGGGTTAAAGCACTGTTCAGTTTTGTATTCTCTGTGTCCTTTTAGAAAGATTTCTACTTCTTCACTTCCTGTCCTAGAGATATAAAAGGAAGTGAGAGAAAATCTCTCCATATTGAGGGGAAATCCCCTCTTGGGCAGCTGTCACTGGAATAGGAGTTCCCATTGGAAGATATATCCTTACCTCTTTTTCCAAAGACAACTGTCTGATGACAAATTTTGAATTTCCTATCTTTCTGTCTCTGGGACCATGGTCACCAGGCCAAATAGAGAGGATGGATCCTGCCAGTTGGATCCCACAATAAAAAACTGACGGGTTCTAATTGAATAAAAAACTGACAGTGGCTCTACTCAATAAAAAGCTGACATTGGTTCTAATCCTCCCCTACTCTATCCCAAAAAGGTTTTGCCGGTACATACAATTTTAAAGTTTTTTAGTAAAGCAATATAAGGAGCAGAGATAATATCCAAAGTGCACTAACCCCAATATGTTAATGTATGCCAGATAAGTGAAGTTCATATGCTCAGTCTGGTTTTTGCTCCTTACTGCCCTTTGTACATTGCACTTTAATCCACTGAATGAATCTTAGCCTAATTTTAGTATTATATAGATGTATTTACATGACCAGGCAGACATCTTACTCCTCTGGGGATGGCTGCCTGTATTCCAGCCAGACAGAGCTGCTTGTCCCTTCCAAGGTTTTTCTTGCTGGTTTTGGCTAATTCCATCCCTTTGAAAGTAATACCTCCTTGTAGTCACTTGGATGACATGGGGCTCGCTGAAATGCTAATTTATGACTTTCCCTAGGACTGGCAGGAAGTACAGCTCCACTACAGCAGCAGTTGTGCTTTTACAATTAAAGTAAAATATGAGCAATGGAGGAGAAAGACTTAAGATCTTCCTTTTGAAGTTCAGCTCACTGCCCTATTGTTCCTCTTCCTCATACATATAATTTACCCTCCTCATGATCCTGCATTAAATCTCCTCTATTTAACTTGGCACCATACACTTCCTTTGTGTATATTCTGTATATTTTAATTATTGTTATTAGTATGATTGTTCATGTATCATGAATGCAGAAAGGGTTTGCAACAAAATTGATAAATGCAAACTCAAATAAAAATGATGTTGTTTAACGTTTTCTTTCTTTCCTTTGCTTTTCATGGGTTTTGCTTTTCTTCTTATTCCTTTCTATTTATTTCCTTTATTTTCTTTTTTCTGTTTTTCCTCTTTTTTATTTTCGCCTTCATTAATTTTCCATTTGTTTTCTTTTTTGTTACTTTACATATCTCTTTCTTTTCTGTTTCTTTCCTTTTTTCTTTCTTACCAGTAACTATTCTCTGTTGCCACAATCAAGGTCAATTACATTTTTGTAGCCTCTTGAGCCCAGCTGCTTTACAAGATTAACAAAGACATATACGGGTAGAAATGTTGCCTTTCCCAACTACAACCAGCTGAATGGCCAGTGCTGGGATACCATTGAGCAAACCCTTTATAATTCTAGCCAAGTTAAAAACTGAGGGTGGATTTTTACAAATGTTATGGCTAACACCAACTAACACTTCGGTATTTGGGGCCTCCACAACTTATGCTGGGAGCATCATAATACAATTCCTTTCCTGCCTCTCACCCCAAAAGGGAATTAACACTTCATCAAATGGATCTGACTGACTAATCTAGTTTAAAGTCAATGTACTACTGATGGCTGCTATGGCTCCCCAGCTTCCTCATGTGTTCTTTACCACAGATTTTGTAAATTGTAAAGCTTACCTCAGCTGTCTGCACATTAAACATGAGTTCAAATTAAAGATTAGGACACAAAAACAATACCATATAATTAAAGGTTTTATGTCAATTCAGATCAATGTTATCTTAATACCAAAGTCAGGAAGCTTAACGTTTGATTTCAGTTTGCCTTCTTGAGTACAACTCATCAATGTCTGCTTAAGTAAGAAGTTAGGAGTTTTATCAATAAATAATGTACTGACTTTTTTTTTCTTGCAGATTTTAAACAAATATGACTCATGGATCTCCTTCTTGAGTAGTGTGAGATACTGGATGGCTTTCAACATCGAGAGAGCTTGTCAGTCCTACTTTGGGTGTGTACAGTGCATAAGTGGACCTCTCGGAATGTATAGAAATTCACTACTACATGAATTTATAGAAGATTGGTACAATCAAGAATTTATGGGCTCCCAGTGTAGCTTTGGAGATGACAGGCATCTAACTAACCGGGTCTTGAGTCTTGGCTTTGCAACCAAATATACAGCACGGTCTAAGTGCCTTACGGAAACACCTACTGAGTATCTAAGGTGGCTTAACCAGCAGACCCGTTGGAGCAAGTCCTACTTCCGGGAATGGCTGTACAATTCTATGTGGTTCCACAAGCATCATCTGTGGATGACCTACGAAGCTGTGATTACCGGTTTCTTTCCTTTCTTCTTAATTGCAACAGTCATCCAGCTGTTCTACCGGGGACGTATATGGAATATTCTACTCTTCCTGTTGACCGTGCAGTTTGTTGGCCTTATCAAGTCTTCCTTTGCCAGTGCACTCCGGGGGAATATAGTAATGGTTTTCATGTCTCTTTACTCGGTCTTGTACATGTCCAGTTTACTACCAGCAAAGATGTTTGCTATCGCCACCATCAACAAGGCCGGGTGGGGCACTTCAGGTAGAAAAACTGTTGTCGTCAACTTTATAGGGTTGATTCCTATAACCGTATGGTTTACAATCCTCTCGGGTGGAGTCTTCTACACTATATGGAAGGAAACAAGAAAGCCATTTGCAGAATCTGAACAGACGGTTCTCATCATTGGTGCAATACTTTACGCGTGCTACTGGGTGATGTTGTTGACTTTATACGTGTCTATGATTACAAAGTGTGGCAAGCGGAAGAAAGAACAGCAATATGACATGGTACTTGACGTATGATGATCACTTACCTACAAAGTGTGCAAACCTATCAGACATTCTGAAATAAAAAAAGCCTTAAGAGACTTAGAATTCTTAGAAGTATTATGGACATAAAGTCATGTCTTGAAGGAAAATGCAACACTGCTGCTGGGACTTACACAAACACTATTTGTGACTTGTTGTCATGCATCCAAAGCAAAAAAATAGAAAACGTTCGAGAAAATGAACACAACTTTATACTAGGCCTCGCCTTGTTTTGGCGAAGCCATTTTATTATGCACTTTTTTTCGATTGTGCATATGCCTGACAGTGTTATGTTCTGTATACCTCACTGGTCATGCTTATGTCGTGGTGAACAAAGCCTTCTGAAATATTTTTAGGCCTACAGGATCTTTTCTAAATGTGTATTTTTCCTCTGGAAAAGTTCCTTGAAAGTGGGCCAATAGGCTCTAGCAATAAAGGACAACATTATTTATAAACTTTGTTTTTTAAAGTTCTTTTTTAAATTTTATTTTATTTTTTATTTTCTTAGTTTTTTTGGTTTCACGGATGGCCTCGTGGCCATCAGTTTATAAATGTCAGACGTGCTTTAAGTACAAGCACGGTGGAATGCTGTATTTTTATATTATTGAATTAATTATGTTTTTTATTTGTATGCCAATGTTTAAAAAAAATGCATATTTTATATTTTACTTATCTGATAAATAATTTGGTTCTCTATTCTTTTTAAAATGTGTTTTAAATTTTTTTATTTTAACTGATACTGGTCAAAATGTGAAGCTTTATAACAGTTCATATTGTTCACCAACAAATGAATAAAATAATTATTTGTACTTTAATCTCTGAATCCATTTATTTAATTGTGAAGTGATAACATGAACACGCTTTACCTGGGGTGCCTTTACAGGGATCCCAACCTGAAATAAGTCATTTCAGGTAGGTGCCCTTCTCATTTCAGGGAGGTTCCCTCTGTCAACCCCCCCCCTCTCCGCAAGGGGGGGGCAACAACAAGGAAGACAGCACCCCCCTAAAATGATGGCATATAACAAAGAAGCTAATGCTTCCTTTGCTATCTGCTGTTTCTTTTAGTGCTCTGACAGCTGCTGCCGTCAGGCCAAACATTTTTTTTAAATGGCATAGGAACTAATAGCTAGATTGCTATTGGCTATTTCAATTTGCAATAGCCAATAGCAAGCTGGCTATTGCACCTGCCCACTGCTGCTGTCAGTCAGCAGAGGTGGACCTGATGGAGAACTTGAGGTTCACCTCTGCTGATTGACAGCAGCAGTAGGCGGGTGCAATACCTAGTCTGCTATTGGCTATTGCAAATTGAAATAGCCAATAGCAATCTAGCTATTAGTTCCTGTGCCGTTTTTTTTTTCCTGACTGACGGCAGCCGGCGGCCCCGATGTCAGAAAAAAACAAAAAAACAGACAGCAGGGAAAGGTCTACTCTGCTAGATCGAGCAGAGTAAACCTTTCCGGGAGAAAATGTTTCTCTCCCGAGTGTCCAGGAGTCGCTATCTAATAGCGGGAGACTTCCGGAACATCTGGGAGAGTTGAGATGTCTGCCTTTATATGTGAGATGATTGGCTCCCAGTCTGTCACTTCCTGTTAGGGCTTATTCAGACGTGCTTCGGCTTGTATAAGTGTGGCGTGAATAAAAAGCTTTAGAAAAGCATTTGTAATGGAGTTAGCAGGCTTTGAGGATCTTTAACCACTTGCTGACGGGAACAAGTTCTTACATTTGCACATACCTGATCAAATCTGACAGCTTCAAACAAATTATACATTTTCTGAAAGCAGATGCCCTGTAGAATAAAAAGATGCTAGTTGCAATTTTTTTATGTTGCACAAATAACCATGATTCTGCTACAGACGTCCCGCGTTTTTTTATGCACGCGTTTTGATGAAAGATGCACGTTTCCCCCGCCATGTCTGGGGTGCCATTAACTAGTAATGGCACTGCAAGCACGCTGCCTGTCTTCGACCCGTCACATGAACACGCATTAAAGTGCATGTTTTTTCCGGTGTTTGGTGCGCATTCACGGAATGCCTAGGTGTGCACTGGGACTTAGTGGCTCTGTTAGCTCTGCCAAGCCGTGGTCCATATTGTGTCATTGCAAGCACTAATTGTGAATAGCCCGTACAGCACACCCTCGGTTCTACTGAACCGAAGGGGTCCTGGGGCCGAAGCTAGCCGAAGGATCGGCCGAAGCTACGGCCAGATCCTCGGGCAGCTTTGTGAATAGACCCCTTAGTGCACAGAAACAGAATATAATACCCAATTTTTTGGTCACATATAAAAGATAGGGTTACATCAGGTAAATGGATATCAAACATAAAAAAGGCTTAAAAGTGCGTGCGTCCGTGAAACGGCAAAAAACTACAATACCCTAAATTTCCCATAGGTGACACTTTAGATGCTTTTACTGCTGATAAGTTTAGTGTTAACAGAGATTGATGGCACTAGAATAATTGCTCTCACTCCAAGGTTCACGGCGATATGTAACATGTGTGGTGCAATTTTCATTTTTGCACGTAGGCGCATCCGATGCGTGTTTGCGTTGTATGTGCGTGCACGCGGGGGACTTTTTAAAAAAAATTTGCAATTTTTTTATATTTTACTTTAATTTTTACTATTTTATTTTATTTTTTTACACTCAACTATACTACTATCACATGGGGGCTAACAAGCGCCCTATGTAATAGCAAATAGGATGTGACAGGTCCTCTTGATGGAGACATCAAGACCCCTAATGTTACCTAGAGACCCCAAAGAAGCTGATGAAGTAGAGATCTGCTTCCCCAGCTTCTTCTCCTGGCTCTACAAGCCGGAGAATTGCCCAGTGACACCGAAAGTGATGTAATACACATCACTTCCGGGTCCAGTCATCTGAGGAGATATCAGCGGCTGGAAGCCTGCTGATCTCCCTCCAATCCATCAGGGGAAACCTGCCGTGGCGGTCCCGTGCCCGCACGGGGCACAGCAGAGCCCGGGGAAGCCGGCAGCGGCTCTGGCGGAGGGGGGGGGGACACAGCGCCGCACCATACAAGCAATCCGGCAGCAATACAGACACCGGATCACTTGTATAAAACGGTAGCAGCAGCAGCAGCAGCAGCAGCAGTGTTCTTGGTATAACCACTTCAAGCGGGTGACGTGTATTTACACGAGCCCGCGTGAAGTGGATAAAGAAAACTTCAGTTCCACTCGATCTTTGTTCTTCTCTATGCAATGCAGGCAGGTCATGGCTGGTGGGAGGGACCGGTGAGGTGCTGTACATAGCTTCCTGAAAACATCATAGCTGCCTGCCTCAGTACTTCTCACAAGATCCCTCACCCCTGATACAAGCAGAGGGCTGGACTGTGGGAGGGGTTATGCAAATATCAAAATGTCTTGATGGTTGGATGTCAATCTGGAGGAGTGGGCATTCCTAAGCAGGCTGCATTAGTATGCAGCAGAGGCGGAACTACCAGGGTCGCAGAGGTCGCGGCCGCGACCGGGCCCTGGAGTTCCGCCATTTGGAGGGGGCCTAGGACAGGAGGAAGAGGCCCCTGGTAACCGCTGATTACCAGGATATTTATTATCCCGGTAACCACTAATGTCAGTCCCGGGACCTCTTGCTCCTGTCCTGGGCCCTACATGCTTCACACTGCTCCCCTCACCTTGTTTCGGACGCATCGCGAAGTATCATCCAGCCGGCGCAGCAGCCAATAAGTGGGAGCGGTGTAATCCCCGCCCCCTCATCACACAGAACTGCTGCCGAATAGAGAGCTGCTGCGGACACAAAGGGGGAGATATAGGGTGCTGGGACTATGAAGGTGACATGGGGTCCGGGAGCGGAAAGCTGGGGACATGAAAGAGGAGAGGTTTTTTTTTCTTGTCTAAATTTTGTTTTAAAAAAAATCTAATTTGTTTCTTCTTGGGGGGGGGGAAGGCTAGGGGCCTTCATGGATTCTTGCATCGGGGCCCTGAGGTCACTAGTTACGCCTCTGGTATGCAGACTGCCATAGGTAATGTACACATGTGATGCTGAGATTCCATGATTGAAAGAAGTAGAATTCAATGAATGGAAGGGGTAA